GTAGTGGAGAATAATCCCTTTCTCAGTGTGAAACTCAAACGATCTCTTGGGGAAAGTGGATCCAAACCTCCTGTTTGAACCCCAGCTCAGTTTGAAGCTCAGTTGATCCTTCCAGGGAGAGAAGGTCCGAGAAATCCAGTTAGCAGAACGAGAGGCAAAGACAAAACAAAGTTAAACTCAGGTTGACAAAAACTCAGTTTGACTCAGCAAACTCAGCTTGGCTAGAGTACCCTAAAATGGCAAACACTCTGGCGTCGAAGTAGTGGCAGTCAGCAGCTTAAGAACACTATGTTTAATGAGGAAACTGTCAGCAGGTGTGTGAGGAGGCGGACCAGAGCCAGGCGCCTCCTGGTGGTGATGAAGGGAGACAAACACAGAAACACAAAGACAGGAGTCCTGACAATCTGTGTCTCTGAGCAAAGACTCTTAACCCCTGATGGCTCGACTGGTGCCGCACAATGGCACCCCACTGCTCCCCAAGAGGATGGATTAATGCAGAGAGTTAATTTCTCCAATGTGAGATCAATACATTTCAACTATTCTTATTATTATTATTATTATTATTTTTTTACCTGCAAGATCACTTGTTCCTAAATTCTCTTTTTTTTCATCTTCAACATGGCTTGGTCCCTTTTATGGTCGTCCTTCTGGGCAGCATCTGTTAAATCTCACCGCCCCACCATCAACACGGCCCTGAAGAGGCCGGTTGGCTGATTAATTTCAGAGTTAAAATGGATCAAACTCAGAGTCTGAACTTTAAAAAGGAATAATAGATATATGTGTGTAGGATCTGCTGATTGATCCACAGGCACAAAGGGACATAGAAAACAGCAGATAAAGGTCATCCACACTTTCCAGCTGAATGTACTGATCATGCATAGTGAGAACCCCAATAGATGTGACTGTTCATGCAGCAGTTTCGCTACCCAAATTGATACTCTTTCATGAAAAATTATTTTGTTCAAATTAAATATTTCTTATGTGTTTTCAGGTTGAAGAAGAATGGGAGGCGTTCATGGCTCTAAAGCAGGATGTTGCTGTAAAAACGCTGAGCCGTCGCCTGGGGAAAGATCTGGCCCTTTCCAAGGTGCGGTCAGTCCTGCAAAGAGAGCGGCTCCGGGAGAACGAACTAACAAAGCTCCGTAGGAAGCACTTCAAGCTGAGATCCAGGATCTGCAGGCTGGAGGCTGAGCTCCACGAGGGGCGCGAGCGTGGGGAGGATTCCCTGCAGATCCAGTTTGAGCAGCTGCAGGCCAAGATGCTGGAGCAGAGGAAACAGGCTGAAAAGGAATGGGAAGAATCCCTGAAGCTGCAGAAGAAGATCGCCAGCTGCTTGGAGGTGAGCTGCATGCATTGGTTCAACATTTAGAACATTTAACCAGCGTAAGTCTGCTTTTTTTTAGGTCCTGTCAAACATAAAAGAGAAGCTGTACTGGAGCCAGATGGAGGTCCAAGCCAAGCGAGAACGGCTGGCAGAGTTAGAGGCCATGGTGGCCGAGAAGAGGGTCCTCCTGATCCAAACCAAGCAGGCACGAAACCAACTACAGAGAGACAACCAGAGGCTGAAGGACAGGCGTGGTCTCCTAGGAAACAGGGAGCTGCTATGGGATTTCGAGCAAACCTTGGACACCTCGGAGCGTTTGGAGAAGCAGCTGGAGAGTTTAAAGTCAGAACAAGCTGAGATTACCTTCAAATGCGGCAAAGCTGAGACACAAGCCAGAAGGACCTTTAAAAAATAACATAAACCAGTTTTTATTCATAAAGATTATAATTATTTTAGGTGAAAAACATGAACTTTGCCCAGGGGCAGATTTAGGAAATTTGGGGTCCCAGGAGAAGACAAAACATAAAACAGACCCATTCTACAGATAGAGAAATGTTAATAGAATAGACATCCATTATTAGTTCTAGGTTTTGT